GGGGGAGAGGGGGAGAGATGAGCTCTGCAAAGACATGGGCCAGGTCAGCCCACCCCGACCCCCTCCTCCCTGGTGGCTGCAAGCAGCTCCCGTCCCTTCCCTCTCGCACAGTGCGGAGAGGCTGCTGCTGGCCGCATTCTGGTGTGAACCCTGGCAGAAATCGGGGGGGGGGGGGATGTGACCCTGTGTCTCCCCCGCACACACGTGTTGCCTCAGGAAGACATGACACCCGGTACCAGGAGAGGCGGGTCCGTCCCCAGGGGCCCAGCCAGGCATAGAGAGGGGAGATCACAGGGCACGGAGGTTCAGGTCAGTCAGTCACCCCCCGTGTGAGAGAGGGGTACAGGAGTGTGTGTGTGTAACCTCTCCCTGAGGGGGGGGATAGGTGTGTGTGTGTGAACCCTAAACCTTAAAGATAAGCAGGTAAAAAGAATCCAACTACGCAGAATTTCTTTTTAACAGGGGCTCAGTCAACTTGATGTTAATTTGAATATTTGCACTAAGTAGCTCTGATTAATTGCCGTTGAACTCGCTTGAATATGAGTAGTTTTACCAGGTGTCCCATATTCAGCATAGGAAAATATGGTCACCCTCCTGGTGGGCCGAGATCAGAACCCAGCCCGGCCCCCAGTGCAGTCAGGGGTGACTCCAGATCAGTGGTTCCCAAACTGGGGTTCGCGAACCCCTGGGGGTTCACAGAACGTTACAGGGGGTTCACCAGAAAAATTTCACTAATGGCGGACAGAGGACCTCGGGCATTGGAGACAGCAGGTGGGACCCGGTTGCAGGGCAGACACCCTGAGCCCCAGTGAGAGTGGGGCCGGGCAGTGGGGGCTGGCAGCCCGAGCCCTGCCCCTGTCAGCGGGGGAGCCGGCAGCCTGAACCCCAGCCCAAGCCCCAGGAATTTGCCAAATCTCATCTATAGCCAGAACCAGAGCCCTCCTTGTTACCACCAGCCACAACCTCACACGAAACTGGAGGTGGGTGAAAAATACCAAGCATTTTTCACAGAAAGTTTTGAATGTTTTTCACATTTTTCAAAATTCCCGAAGAAAAAACTGAAACGGAAAAATGGTCCATTTTCTTGTTTTCTTGAAACATTTTCTGATTTTTGAAAACCAAAAATGAATTTATTTTTATTCGAAACCATTTCTTTTTTAAACAAAAGCCAAAAATACATTTTACAGAAACATTTTTGGTTTCTGGTTTTTCTATGTTCGTTAAAAAAAGTTTCAATTAAAAATATTTTTCAGAGGTTCATAGATTCTGGGGCCTGGCTGTTGGGGCATCCATCACACTGAGGAAATTTAAACTTAAATCCCTGAAAATATTCATTTTTAGGAGGGGGTTCACGAGATTTCACAATTTAGTGAAAGGGGTTCGCGGGTTGTTAAAGTTTGGGAACCACTGCACCAGATTGACCCCGGGGGGCTGAGATCAGAATCCAGCCCACAGGTTCCCTGTGAATGCAGTGAGGTGTCTGTTCACCCTGGCGCTGTCCCTGGGGCTGGGCACTAATGGCAGGTTACAGACACCCGGGGAGGGGTTTGTGTCTCCCCATCTCACTCCTGTTTGCGTGTGAACGCAGAGCTCCCTGCGCCCGGACCCTCCATCTCCGTCAGCCCCAGCGGGGTGATCACCCCGGGGCGAGTCATCACCATCCGCTGTCAGTGTCGGTGCGAGGCCAGGAGGTTATTTCTGTATAAAGGTGGAATCAAAATCCAGGAGCTGGATACTGCTGGGGACGGGGGTGAATTCACCATCCCCAGCGCCAGATGGGAAGACAGAGGGGCCTACAGCTGCCGGTCTCGCTCCAGATCAGAGCCGCCCAACTGGTTGTATCCGAGTAACATTGTGTGGATCTTTGTAACAGGTAAGGGGTCCAGCTCCCAGCTCCCAGCCCCACACCCAGCCAGACCATCATGGGGGTCTCTGGGCAGGTGGGACATTCCTTGGGGTGTCACTTAACCTGCCTGTGCCTCCATTTCCCCTTGTACGAATGGGGAATAATCATCCCACCTGCACCTTGTGTCTGGTTAGATCATCAGGACTTGGCTCTAGGGAGGGGGATTTTTCTCACCGTGTCTGTGCAGCACCCAGCACCCCTCCCGATCTAACCACTAGACCCCACTCCCCTCCCAGAGCCAGGGATAGAACCCAGGAGTCCTGGTTCCCAGGCTTCTGGGCCCCATTAAGGAGATAGATGGGTACAGAGGGGTGCCCTGGATTTTTGGCAGTTCCAGGCGTAGCTCCCAGGAATCTCTGGGATGTCAGAGACGTTCCTCTGGCTGGGTTTTCTCCCAGGGGCCCCATCTCTGGGACTGTGCGGGGAGGACGGGGTGCAGTGACTGTGCCGGGGTCTGTCTCACAGCCTGTCTCCTTCTCACCGAAGAGCTCAGCTACTCCAAACCCTCCATCTCCCTATGCCCGGGGGTGGGGGGCCTTCCCTGGAGTGAGCCATGACCATACGCTTTTGGCTTCGGCACCAGAATGTGAGATTCCTTCTGTACTAAGATGGAAACCCGAATGTTCCCTGTGGATGCAGTGAGGTGTCTGTTACCCCTGGCGCTGTCCCTGGGGCTAGGCGCTAAGGGCAGGTGACAGACACACAGGGAGGGGTTTGTGTCTCCCCTTCTAACTCCTGTTTGTGTGTGAACGCAGAGCTCCCTGCGCCTATACCCTCCATCTCCGTCAGCCCCAGCGGGGTGTTCGCCCCGGGGGGAGCCGTCACCATCCGCTGTCAGTGTCGATGCGGGGGCAGGAGGTTATTTCTGTATAAAGATGGAATCGAAATCCGGGAGCTGGATTCTGCTGGGGACGGGGGTGAATTCACCATCCCCAACGCCAGGCGGGAAGACAGAGGGTACTACATGTGCCGATCTCACTCCAGATCGGAGCCGCCGAATTGGTGGTATCCCAGTGACATCGTGCGCATCATTGTAGCAGGTGAGGGGCCCGACTCAGCATCCCGGCTCCCAGCCCCACACCCAGCCACACCCTCGGGGTGGGCTCCAGGCAGATGGGAAACTCCTTGGGGTGTCACTTAACCTGCCTGTGCCTCCATTTCCCCTTGTATGAATGGGGATATAGAGTCACTCTGCACCTTGTGTCTGGTTAGATCGTCAGGACTTGGCTTTAGGGCAGGGTCTTTTTCTCACTGTGTCTGTGCAGCACCCAGCACCTCTGACTCCGAGCCCCCTCCCGGTCTAACCACTAGACCCCACTCCCCTCCCAGAGCCAGGGATAGAACCCAGGAGTCCTGACTCCAAGGTTGCTGGGCCCCGTTAAGGAGATAGATGGGTAGAGAGGGGTGCTCTGGAGTTTAGGCAGTTCCAGGCGTAGCTCCCAGGAATACCTGGGATGTCGGAGAGGTTCCTCTGGCTGGGTTTTCTCCCAGGGGCCCCGTCTCTGGGACTGTGCAGCAAGGACGGGGCGCAGTGACTGTGCTGGGGTCTGTCTCATGGCCTGTCTCCTTCTCACCACAGAGCTCAGCTACGCCAAACCCTCCATCTCCCTGAGCCCCAGCGGGGGGGTCCCCCTGGGGGGAGCTGTGACTATCCGGTGTTGGGGTTGGTACCAGAACATGAGGTTCCTTCTGTACAAAGATGGGAACCCGAACACGCTGGAGGACGTGGAGCTGGCTGGGGGCCTGGCTGAGTTTCTCATTCGCAACATGAGCTGGAGACACGCAGGGAACTACAGCTGCTATTATTACCACCATTCGTACCCAGCCACCTGGTCACATCCCAGCGACCCCGTGGAGCTGGTGGTAGCAGGTGAGGGGCCCAGCTCAGTATCCCCACCCCCAGCCCCACACCCAGCCAGACCCTCAGGGGCAGGGCCATATGTAAGGGGGCCAAGCAGGAGGAGGGGTCCCCCTGAATCAATGAGGCTGGAGCACAGAACTCCTCCGGGGAGCAGAGCCAGCTCCTCTGGCTGCGGGGGGCACACAAAGTTCCCCTCCAAACGCGGCCACATTTTTATTCCTGTTCATGCCCCTGATCAGGGGGTCTCTGCGCCAATGGGACGCTCAGAGCCAGGCTCTGCCCTGAGCCCTGGGCCCAGCAGAGGAGACGCCCGGCTGGGGGGCAGGGACAGAATCACTGGTGGGTTCCCCAGCAAGGGGGCAGCAGCAGCTTCCGGACGTTCGGGGCTGAGGGAGGGGGGATGTCTGCCCCAGGGGAGCTGCAGAGCAGGGGCCTTTCCAAGGGAGATGGTGCCCCGGCCTTCCCCACTCCAAGGACACACAGAGGAGTCGGGGCCCAGGGGCTGCCCAGCCGGCCCCGTCCCCAGCCTGTGACTGCATTCCAGGGCTGGCTGTGTGATGCCCACCGGGGCTGGGGGCTGTCAGGTTAAAGAGCAGTGGGAGCTGCACACGTTGGCTGCTCAGAACCAGCCTGGAAACAACAGCTGTGGGGAGACCCCCAAGGATTCCCGGGCAGCGGCAGTGGGGGGAGCTCGAGCCTGGGACGGGATTTTTTGTGGTGGGGAGAGATAGAAAACATCAGGGGACAGCAGCCAGCAGCTCCTCCCCCGCCCCCAGCGCTCCTGGTGGAAATGGCTGGTAGAGTTTGGAGGGAGGCTGCCCAGCGCCAGGAGAGAGACACCAGCAGCCAGCGAGGTAACAACCGGCAGCAGAAATGCAGGGCCCCAGCGAGCGGGAGCCAGTGGATAAGGACGTGGTGGCCGAGCTGTGTCATCGAAGGGCACCAGGCAGAGAGCTGGGAGGGAGAAAGTCCCGCTGAGAAGGGACAGAGATGGCAGGAACAGGAGGAGGCAGACAGAGGAAACACAGAGGCATGAAGGGGAAAGTTAAAAGAAGAACCGGGCAGCGAAACACGAAGAATAAAGAGTCTCTAAGTTACAAAGAAATTGTTAGAAAACCACAAGAGAAGTAAAGCACGAATGAAATGTGACAGAAACCAGCTGTGAGCAAAGAGAAACGGGCTGAAGAAATGAGGAGGAAGTGAGCTGGAGTGAAAGTAAAGCCAATAGTACGGACAAAACGTCCCCCCAGCACCTTCAGGGGCAGCGAGAGGAAGGGAAAAATTGCCCGAGAGCGAATGGACTCTAGAAAAAGCAGCGGAGGGACAGTTGTTCGATGGAGAAGCCGACCCATCGCCTGGAGAAATAGCTGCAGGTATCTGAGCTGGAACTCAGAGCAGCAAACAGAGCCGGCGCAAGGGGATGGCTCAAGACACAACAAACCAGCCTAAGAACAGAGAAGCCGCGAAGGGACCGTAGAGCAGTGGGTTCTGGCCTAGTGCCTTGGACGTTCTAACGCCAGATCCTGGTGCTCCAGGAATGTAAA